AATAATACGTAAATTTTAACATATATATTTTAATTAAATAAATTAATACATAATATATAATAAGGGTTAAATATAAAATTTTACAAAATAAAGGATATAAATAAAAATGAAAATGTAAGTTGAAGGGTAAAAATTGTAAATTTAGAAAATCAGATTTTTTTTAAATGAGTGGGTCCCACTCAAACTAACCTATTTCTACCAACAAAAATAAAACTAACCTATTTTTACAAACCTTTTTCAAAACCAACCCATTTTTGCAAAAAACTCCCCTAGATACGTAGTTAATTTTGATTTGCAAAACATTTTATTTGATACTAGGAATTATATATGCATAAGGAAACCGAATTAAAACCCCAAAAAAAAAAACAATCAATATCAAAAAATAAAAATTGGAATATTTTATGAAATCAACAAAAAATAGGGTTTCCTGTAATAGTGAAATTCAGTAAAAACACGTCGGATGTAAGACATAGTTTTGTATTTTGCTCAAACGGTCAAGGTCAATTCAAATTGAAAATGTATTATTTGAAACCACGTCGACTTTTCCCTCCGATCAAACCCACAACTTTGCAGGACTTTGATTCACCTTAAAAGTGTAGCCGCTTAAGAAAATTCCTAGGTCCGCCACTGCACACCCCCTTAAAGCCTTAACCTTCCAGCCTCCTCACCTCTCGGTCCTTCACGACATTCCGCCACCACTATTAGCCCTTCCCCAACCCTGGTTTGAAAATCGATACATATTGCGGCTTTCGTTGAATAAATGGACTCTACAAAAAAGACAATCTATTTTTTTTTACCTTAAGACGAAGGAACAATACAATGGCAAAAATTGTTTAAGTTTACTATTAATTACCTTTATTTATTCATATTATTGTAACTAAAACTTTATTTACTTGACTTTTAATTACCTTTATTTATTAAACTGTCAAAAACTTCTAAATTGCTCCTCCATATAGCTTTTCACTGAGTTAGTTTATAAGAGCATCTCGAATAGATTCTTTAAAATTTCTCTGAAAATGAGTGAAACTTCAAAATCTTTAAAAAAAATACATTTAACTCCAATGGATTCTCCATTTTGGAGATTACAACATTGATTATGTTATCAAAAAAATTATTCATCTAATAAAATATTATTTTTCTCTCTAAATATTTAGTTTTAAAGTTTACTATCGGTGGAAATATATTAAAAAGAATATTTTTCTCTCATTGTAATCATTTTTGGGTTGTTATCTAAATTTGGGACTTTTAGGTGGCGTTTGTTTTTAAGAGGTGTTGAAGTCTGAAATCTGATTTCATTTCTGATTTTTAAGAGGTTATGCTGAAGTCTAAAATCTGAATCTGTCAGACTGTTTGTTTTTATGTCTGAAATCTGAATCAGTCATATTGGTTATAGCAATGTTCTGATTCAACATGGATTTGTATTTCTTTCTTTCAAGGTTTTAGTCAAATAACAACAACAACAAAAAATCAAAGTTTTCCTTATAGTGGGTGGAGTTGAAATCAGTTGTCTTATGGAATCTGAATCTAACAATGATTACAACTTTATCGTGAGATTCATAGAAGAGGAGATTGAGATATCAGCAGGAGATGGTGATCTTCTTCATCGCCTTCAGATTTTGATTATGTATTGTGTTGGTCATCAGGAGAATCGTGGATCATTGTAAGATTGGTCACCGGCGAGAAAAAGTTGATTTAAGAGGTATTAAGTGATAGGTTTATCACTTAAAAATTCAGAGGAGGGAAACATCATTTAGGCTCTTATTTTGAAAACAAAAACGGTCTGAAAATAGAAATGTCTAAACGATTCAGACTTAAGAAGTGATTAAGGGGAAATTTCAAAAAAACAAACAAAGTCTTACACCCTCTTACTTTCTTCATTTTGAAAAAAGGTCTTGAAAAATCGGATAAAACAAAAAACATGCATAGAATCCTCAAAATCTTTATTTTCGTCATTTTTGAAGAACCTATTGAATATCCTGAAAATAGAGTTTGTATATAGTGTGATATTACTAATCTAAACGTTTTGTTTTTATTACTTCATAATAGTACAAGAACATAACAAAATTGTATTACTATTTCTCGGTTAATAGTGTAAAGGTTTTGAGTTTTAGAGGTCGTTTACCCAAACACTTATCTGGTGAACGCTTACCAGTAAAATTTGACAATATCACTTACCTGGGTAAAAATTATGCTCCATTAAAATGACATTATATGTAACAATTTACCCAGTAAATATTAATCGGGTAAGAGTCCTCACCTACTTACAAAGGTAAGACTCTTGATCCTTACGTGTAAGATTCTCGGTCCTTGCCATGTCCATCCGATAAGGTAATGTATATGACTTGGTAAGTGCTTACTGGGTAAGCGCTTGGTAAGCAACCCCTTAGTCTTCCATTAACAAATTTTCTCTAAAATTTAATATTAGATCTTAGGAAGAAAAAAAAAAGTTGTGTGCATTATTTGGATCTCTAAATTTTTGTTATATTATATCCCCCCCCCCCCCCCCAAACTACAGTAGTCGTGTTCCGCCCCTAACAGTAGGTTCAAGTAGGTTCAACGGTAGTTCAAGGCAAGTTTCTGTTTAGTTCCATGTATGAGAAATCATCAAGTTTCTGTTTAGTTTCATGCATGAAAATCACATAAAACAGTAGGTATGGAAGCATGAAATGGGGAAGTGAAGAGCAAAAATCGAGATGTTGTTCACTGAATTGGCGCAATGAAGAGCAAAAATCACAAGTTGAGTAGCAAACAAACAAATCTACAATAAAATCTTTCTTATGATAATCATGGTAATACAACATAGTTGCAGACCCATAAATCAAGTAGAAATCGAGATGCTGGTCACAAGAAACAAGTAAAGATCGAGATGTTGTTCATAAGAAACAAGTATAAATCGAGAGAAGTTGAAAATCGCACGTCTAAACAAGAAATCGAGATGTTGTTCAATCGAGTTGAGGTAGGGAGGCATGAAATCTAGATGCTATATGAAAGGCAGAAATCGAAAAGTACAATGAAAACGAAAATCGACAAGCAGAAGACGAGATGATATGGATGGAGGCATCAATAATTTTTTTTACTCTAATCTCGTCAATTAAACATAAAATTGACCAACTTATCTAATTTTCTGTATGAAAGACATTAATTAATTTTGAATTCTTGACGATGAGACCAATTATTCACATAATGTTCAAAATGTTTTATTGATATCAACATTTTGAAGATCTAGCAATAAAAACATGCATCTATCAACATAATTTCACATAGAATATTTCAAGGTACCTTTTCTTCAATACATTTAACTGCTTCTTCTATAAAAAAAAACTAATAGGTCGAGAAAAGGGTTAAAAAAAAGCCCTTAATAAATTTAGAACTGATTGATTTTTACTGTTGTATAGTCACAGACCTAAAATACATGATTAAGATGACAACTATCCTAATTTCTAGCCCACAACTCTAAACAAGAAAATATAGAAAATAACTAGTAATTTGATTAGTTAAAAGTACTATTCAAACTAAGTGCTAGAAACCCCAAGCTTATCAGAAAAGCACATAACAATAGATCAAACAGATATGTACATCAGTTTCTTTCAAAGAAATACTTAATATCAATGTAAGATCAAACAAAAACCCATAATTTTTAGAAGTTAAAGATAATATTAACAAAAAGTAACAACCAAACACAAATTTAGATCTACCTTAGCTTCAAATACCTTCACTTAACCAGATTTTTGATAGCTAATAACAACATATAACTTTCATCTATCTACGGGGGGTGTTTGGGATTGTTTATTTGAAACAACTTATGTTTTTCTACAAAAACATTTATCAACTTATTATAAGTAAAAAAGATTTAGCTTTTTCAAAAACTTCTTATTACCTGTTTGACACCAGTATAAGTTATTTATCTAAACACTCAAAAATATTTATCGCTAGTACCATATCAAAATAAATCAATAAATTATTTTTACAAGTTATTTGAAACACCCCTAAAAATGTATGAGTTTTGTGTCACATGATTGCCATAACAATTTGAATTTCACTTAAAAGTAGCCATAACCCATTAATATCGAGATGAGTGGGACCATCGCAGTGTAGCCATGCGTTTACGTCTGGAGAAACTCCCCAACCCAACACCTTTCTCATTTCTCTCTGTCTCTGAGAGAATATATATATATATATATATCGTATAAAAAATTAATATTTTATAAAAAAGACAAAAAATCTCAATATCATATATAATTATATTTTCTTTATAAATACAATATATATTTAATTATATATAATTAAATTTATTTATTATATGTATAATTATATATAATATCAATACTTCTTATAAGATGTTTAGCATATATGTATCTAGACTTGGGATCACGTGAGACTTGTAAGATCAGGTTTTTACACTTGAAATTTTATAGCAAAATGCTATAAAGATAACTTTCACAGTGTTTTTGTTATGAAGATTTGACTTTTTTAAACCTTCATTCAAGTGTAAAAATACGGTCTCACGAAAACAACCTGTTCTTACGTAACCCAACCCTATATATATATATATATATATATATGTATATGTATGTATGTTTGTTTGTGAGAAGAGATTATTTTAATGGTTTGAACATGCTAAGGATCTGGTTCTGCTCTCCGCCCTCTTCTTCTCCCAAGTTAAATTTCTTTTATTAAAAAACTTGTACGTTACTCCTTTCTTCTTTCCAAGATAAACTCCAATCCTCTCTCCCCTTTTCAAGATTTCATTTACTTGAGTTGATAATAATGGTGGAGAACGGCCACCAACAGCCACCAGCTCCAGCGCCTCCGCCGCCCACCGTCCAGCAACCGCTTGGTGCCGCCAGAGGCCCTGCTTATCCACCTGCCGAACAACTTCTTCAGCTTAATTACTGCATCCATTCCAATCCTTCATGGGGTTTGTCTTACCCTCTTTCACACACCCACACACACACACACACTTCCTCTGTATCTGAATCTTGAATCTTTCCTTTTTAACAAAAATATTATGGGAATGATTTGAATCTTTCATAAGTTGAATATTCCTTGAAAAGTTTTCATTCTTGTCACCCTTTTTGCCATTTTAATGAACTCTTTGTTCAATTGATGCCTCCTGTTGCTGAATCTTTTAAGAACCCCCTTTTTTGAGAAACAATAAAGTAGGATTTTTCATTAAGCGAGTCTTAATCAGCCATGGTTTGCGATTGAAGAAGCTGTAAAGAAGAAAAAGGGGGAAAGCTATAGGTTGATGTTGACCTGTTTGACTGTTAGGTCAAGCCATTCTATAATTCCAATATGGATTGATAGCAACTTTTTGTTGTATCTTTTCAGTACCTACTTTTTTGTATATAATTGCGACTTATTCTATACATATATGAAGATAATGGTGTTAGGTTTATATTAAGCTCCATATGAAATTAACTAATCAGTTTGATTGCAATTATGCAGCCCAAACAGCTATACTGGCTTTCCAACACTACATCGTAATGCTTGGCAGCATAGTCATGGTTGCATCCATTCTTGTTCCTCGAATGGGTGGTGACCCTGTGAGTCTTTTGCATCATACTTATTATTTCAGCTTTGAACACCTGCAAATATGTAAAAAAGATACAAGGAAACAGCCACTCTACTTTTCGGGTTAGACGTCCCTACGGGTGGGATATTCGTTTGGTTTGGGTCAAAGATGTCGAGAAAATGGTTGGATATTTTAACAAAAGCTCTTTGCTTTTTTTTGGTGTACGTTTAGGGCGATAAGGCGCGGGTAATTCAAGCGTTACTTTTCATGTCGGGATTGAATACCCTTTTGCAAGCATTGCTTGGTACAAGGCTTCCTACAGTAATGGGACCATCCTTTGCGTATATCTTAGCCGTGTTGTCAATCATAAACGATTTTAGAGACGAAGATTTCTCATCTGAGCATGAGGTATATGCATATATGATTACATATACTTTAACGGGGTCGTCTTTTGGTGTTAACGAGTGGTGATTTTATGCTTTTAATGATAGAGATTTCTGCACACTATGAGAGCTATTCAAGGATCCCTGATAATTTCCTCATTCATCAATATGCTCCTTGGATTTAGCAGGGCATGGGGAGAATTCACCAAGTGATATAACTATCTCTAATTGAACTTTCTTTCTTCTTTCGTTTACCTGTATTATTTAATTTCGATTTTTTACTATTTTGATTGTTTTTTCCCCTTTTTCTGTAGGATTTTCAGCCCAGTTATCATCGTTCCTTATGTCTGTGTGGTTGGTCTTGGATTATTTGGAAGGGGTTTCCCGCAGGTTTAAATAAAATCTTTTCTTGAAATCTTGTGTACCCGTAATCTTCGTTTTCAAAACTGAAACTCATAGTATCCGTTGTGTTATGTACAGCTTGCAACCTGTGTCGAGATTGGTCTGCCGATGCTTGTATTTTTGGTTGTCTTTCAACAGGTATTGTATCGGCGAACTGATATTTTGACTTATGTGGTGAAAGTGAGAGACTTTCTCCCTTTTCCCACAAATTTGAAATAATTTCAGATGGAATTTGAGCATACAATGTAGCATGTTAGATTATAGTTTTCTAAAGCTGAGAACGTAGCTTTTGATCTTTAGAATGGAAGTAATATGATAGGTTTGACTTCTGAAAGTCAAAATGTATCTTCTTACATGGGTAGGAAGGTTTACAGTGTGCCTTTTTGTAAAGAAAATTGTTGATGTTATACTGTAGTACATGAAAAGGCTCCATCCGGCTGCACATCCAATTCTCGAGAGATTTGCTTTGCTCTTCTGCATTGGGCTCGTGTGGGCTTTTGCAGCCATCCTTACTGTTGCCGGTGCATATAACAATGCCAGGGATGCAACCAAGCGCAGTTGCCGCACCGATCGTTCATACCTAATGTCATCTGCTCCATGGTAAATGTTATATCTTTCGAGAACCATTTAGAGTGATTGGGGTTTTCACCCGTTAGGGTGCATTTGGTACGCAGACTGGACTGGACTGGACTGGACTGGACTATATGGGCGAGAGTACTGAGGTAGGCGGGCGAAAGAATTCTGGAAGGTTTTAGGGTTTTAATTTGACATAGGTAGTTTAGTAATTTACCAATCTTGTCACATCTCCCTGACTTTTGTCCCATCTATATTTTTTTGTTTATGATTTTGTCCCACACCGTCTCAGGTTTGTCTTGTCCCGGTCTAATGTTGCCCTAAATGTGGAACTAACAACTTTTTGTACTGCTTGCCCTGTGTACCAAACGCACCCTTACGACTTTTCATTGCAAATCAACCATTGTATATGTGAAAATGCAAAAAAGACATTATAGTTCACAGAAACAAGCGATTATGGATAAAAAGCCTAGTATGATGGTTCAAAAAGTCAAATGATTGTACCTTCTGTATGCTGATTGAGCACATTTTCGGGCTCCTATTCACTTTCGTTAACAATATATAGGATTAAGATACCATATCCGTTTCAATGGGGCACACCTATATTCAGAGCAAGCCATGTTTTTGGGATGATGGGAGCTGCTCTAGTAACGACAGTAGAGGTTTGTTAAAATGTTCTCTTGTTTCGATTAAAGGCTGTAAATGGATATATGAAAATATGTCTGAATTCATATTGGGTTTTCTACAGTCGACCGGAACGTTTATTGCTGCATCACGTTTTGCGGGTGCGACACCCCCTCCAGCACATGTTCTCAGCCGAAGTATTGGTCTACAGGTTCACACGTGTCGACTATTCCTCTGTTAGTTCTCGTCTTATATCATAAACCTGCTAGAAGATTATAGCTTGCGTTTTCTTAATCTTGCAGGGTATTGGCCAGCTGCTTGATGGGATATTTGGTTCAATTGTTGGCACAAACGCATCAGTGTAAGAACCTGCATCTAATTATCCATTTCTCGAGTATGCTTATTTCGCGACGCACTAAATTATTTTGCGTTTCTGATCATAATACAGTGAAAACGTTGGACTTCTTGCACTAACGCACGTGGGGAGTCGAAGAGTTGTTCAAATTTCGACTGCATTCATGTTCTTCTTCTCCATATTCGGTCTGTGCATATTTTTCTTCAGTAACTTCTTTTCTTTTCCATTTTCATGTCTCACTTAAATCTCATAATTCTTTTTCAGGAAAATTTGGAGCTTTCTTTGCATCAATTCCGCTTCCGATATTCGCTGCCATTTACTGTGTTCTGTATGGTCTCGTAGGTGTGTTTCTTTCTGCCCTCTGTTTAGTGTTTTCTTACGGAGAGCTTTGAAGAATTTGATTTTGGTTTTCAACAGCTGCGGTTGGAGTTACGTTTATTCAATTTACAAACAATAATTCGATGAGGAACATCTATGTAATGGGATTATCGCTGTTTCTTGGGATATCGATAGCCCAATATTTTGTGATGAACACAGATGGTGGAAGTGGCCATGGACCTGTGCACACCGGTGGTGGATGGGTAAGTAACCGCCAATGTCACGACAACAAAATTTGTCTTTTTGGACACCCAACCGTCCTCGGGCTTGGATGTCCTAATGGGATTTTAAGTTCAGGATCAAGAACTGTGTGTCATATCTGAAGGCGTTATAATAAGTTGTTAATGCAAAGTTAGGGGCCTAACAAGTTTTATCGACAAAATTGACCAACATAATAGGATACAAAAATAAATGGGAACTATCAGCCTTTTTACTGGACACTTTTGGAAAGTGTCCAATTACTCAACATGACAATCTTCAAAATTGTCGCGAGGCTGATTTGCTTTTTGTGTCATGTTCTGTTGCCTAACTTTGCTAGAACTTGTTAGGTCACCTAACTTCATACTTTGGACATGACACACTGGTTCTTGATCCTATATACTTAAAAGTGTAATTAAGTACTTTATTAGGAGTACTAAAAGACCCATCTTATAGTAGTGTGTTAACATGTTTTGAGCTTGTCTTGATGTTTGTCTAACTTGAAAAGGGTATTTGTGGGCAGTTTAACGATATATTGAACACCATATTTTCTTCGGGTCCAATGGTGGCTATGATAGTGGGAACGATACTAGACAACACACTGGATGCGCACCATGCGCATGACGAAAGAGGGGTACCGTGGTGGGCGCCTTTCCAGCACAAGAAAGGTGATAGTAGAAACGAAGAGTTCTACAGTTTTCCTCTTAGATTTAACGAGTATATCCCTACCAGGTTTCTTTAGCCATAACTTTTGTTATTACTGTTGAGGATTTGAAGTAGAGTTCTTTTTGGTTATGTATTAATTACTTTTAAGCTTTTGTTATCTTTTTTGTATAAGACAGAATGATATAAAAATCTTATGCCCGATCTGAATGAGGTGTGGTGAGAGAACTTTGTAGATCATATACCACATGATTGAAGATCGACATGAAAATGAAAAAGAACCGATTATCACTGACCTTCCAAAAGCGACATAGACCTACCATAACCAAGAAATCTGTACAAAATCCTTCACCTTCCCAGGAAGGCAACTGGAATTCATGGGGCTGGAGCCAATGGGAGCCCTACCTATTAAAACCCAGTGTCAATGATCGTAGGAGATGGGGAAAATATGTGAGCTTTCTTGCTAATTCATGATTCACTTCTAAAACCCTTTAAATCATTTACCTCAACTGCTGCACATTCGGATTCAGAACAAAGTCTTGTTTAAAAAACAAACCAACCCCACAGCGTCATATTATCGAACACTTTGCATGCAACACAAATTACTACTAAAGTGGTCCAATCCGAAATCAGGTGTATGCGGCAGAATCAATCATCTCCCTAACTCCATTCTGATCACTGAAATCATCCGGCTGTTGGTGTTAGCTGTAGCCGCTGATCAAACTTCTTTGCGAGTATGTGAAACGGATGAAGGAAGATTGTCCAATCTACAAAATTACATGTGGTGGCAATCACATTACTCCATGTCAACACCAGATATTCCTTGCCAATCAAATGGTGCCACGTTGCTTCCAAACTTGTGATGAGAGATTAACAATCCTGTCATTATTATTTAATGTAGAGATGGGCAAATAAGGAGAAGCCCGGCCTCGTAAAGAAAGCACTGGGGAATTGTTGGAAATTTTGTGAGTCGGAAGTTTGTCTTCTATCCTACATTGGTATATAAAGAACTTTTAGAGAAGCTTATAACTAGGTTTTGAACAAACTGATGTACTCATGGTGGGGATCTTGAGTGGAAGGCCCCACGCAAATGTGCGTGGCTATGGCTGAGGGCGTGTGGACTTTGCACCGGAGCAGAAGGAACCTCGCCCCGAGCTCCGAGTATCTTTTTGGTACACAAAGTCGAGAGGAGAAAGAAAATAACTGTTTTTTTTAAATCGGTTTTTTGACTTAGGGGCTGTTTACCAAATTTTCTATTAAGTCCTATACGGATAAATTTGTCTGGATAAATTTGGCTGTCTGGATAAATTTATGTTGCTGTTTACTTTTCTATCTGAATCAACCGTCTGAATAACAGAAATGACCAATTTACCCCTGAGGATTAACTATGGGCTGTTTAGTAAATTGTTGTTCATTTTTTAAGGCAAATGATATTTCTGAAAAATAAAATATTTAAACATCAAAACATAAATTTATAAATTCATTTATATCATCCAAAATTAAAACATAAATTCATAAATCCAAGTTCAAACACAAAGTAGCCAAGTTCAAATACAAG